GCTTAAATTGTCCAAGAAAAGGACTTCTCTACCAAAACAGCTTCTAATTCTTTTGACATTTGGCCAGTTCACCCGGGGCTCTGTGCCATGACTAGTAGTCGCAATTCAATGTGACAAACACTGATTGAATGACAGTCACAATAAAAGGCTTTGGCAGCACATGTCTAATTCTCCAAGGTCATGGGAATTGAGAGGAGAAGGAGAAAGGACAGGTCGATCAAAAACCTAACTCCAGCCAAAACCCCAAACCTCTCCTTGCCTCATATGTAACCTTAGTCTCAAACAACGATGGATTCTCCTCATTGGGGACTAGTGAGTCTCCCCTAAAGTGCTCATCAGCCACAGGGAAGCATGAGAAGGAAGAAAAGTATAGAAATCCACAAACTTGGATTAACCATCCCTAGACATGAGAAGCTGGGGCTGCTTCCTGTGACAGATTCGCCTTCTCAAAAGGAGAAGAAACTTAAGGGAGAAAATATTTGTGAAAACTTCCAGTGTTTACCATCAGAGCATCTCCCTGCATGAGGCCAGGAGTCTGCTGGTGATGTTGGGGTTCTTGTTCGAGGAGTTGAACAATGAACTTCATGAACTAGCAAGGTAGATTCACAGAGAAAGTTTTATTCAGGATAAGGAAAATTATGGAACTCCCCACAGGTGCAGGGAGGGTAAGGCTGCTGCTTGGGGACTCTGTGTCTAGGGTCTTAATGCAGTGAGAGCTGTTTGTTTTCTGTAGGTTCAGCTAGAATGCTAGTTATGCTTTAACCAGTCTCATTAAAGTTTACTCTGTTTTAAACTAATGTGCATACATGACTATGGTCAGCAAGCTGTTCCATAATAGTGCGTCAGGGGCTGTAGTCCTTTATACACTGTTACATTGTTTCAACCTCAAGCACCGTGTTTTTTTCTTTACATTCCTGAAGCCTTAGTAAAACTTTGTCCTTTTCCAGGGGCCACACTCTGCTCTAACTGGGCAGGGGTTACTTACTCCCTGCTGCCTCCCTATCTCACTGGTAGAAAAGGACAGGTTAGAAAGCCTTTAAATTGTCTTCCCCCAGATATACCCAGAAAAGTGTGAAGAAGAGATAAGGCTCACATCTGAACTATTTCTTTGGATAAAATATGTGATAAAATGGGACAGAGGGGACTAGAAGATGGCAAGAAGTAATGACAGACCTGGGCCTGTTTCACCTTTGTAACTAATGCCTGTCAGGGATGGACACCTTTAGAAGCCATTCTTTTATCACTAATATTCAAGCCACCAACAATATTAAAATAAAAACTCAGGGGCTAAATATTCTATCTCAATATCTTAAAAATCAAAGTCCCACAGAAAAAGGCTTGCAGTATCTCCCCTGAGAGCTTCAGCTCTACCAGGATCTCAGGAAGGTGACCTCTCATCAGAGCTCAGAGCTCTTGTTTTTCAAGTGACAAAGATCAGAGTTCAATTCTAGGAGCCTGGCGCTAGCAGGATTGTGTAGCATAAAGATATTTTTCTCAATGTTCCTTCTGAAATCCTCTCTCTCTATTTATATTGTTCCTCAGCAGAGACAGCCAGCTGCTCTCCTTCTGGGGTCCTCTCTCCTTTCTCAAGAAAAGGTAACAGCTGCTTCCAGGACCTGACTCTGCACTTCCCAGGCTCCATCCTTGGTCCACAACCCTGACTGGGGCCGTGGATCAAGACTTCACAGCACTCGGCAATCCCAGGCCAACCGTCACTGGTCTGCAGCCCGATGCAGGAAGGCTTCCCCTGTGGGAAACCAGGCAAGGCAGCAGCAAGTGGGATTTGGGATGTGCTGTGGACAGTCCTCTCACAGAATCGGAGACAGGGTCTAGGCCTTGTGCTGATGTGAAGCTGGTGTTTGGGCCTGAAAGAAACCCAATTGTTAAAGGAACATACAACAGAGACGGTGTTTTCCAGAGGGAAGAGACCTGTACTAGAAGTCTCTGGTGTCTCTAGGTCCATCTTTGCTGTGTGATCCTAGGCAAGTCACTTAGCTTGTCTGAACCTCTGTTTCTTTCACTGAAACACAGCAAGCTTCACATCATTTTCTAAGGTTCTTTCCAGCTCTAAAAGCACTATGACCTCAGTGTCTTCAATTCATTCTGGTTAATATTCATGGAAAGTAATCTTTAGCCCACTAAGATGGTGACTCTCATCAACAATAAGTTATTGAAGTGTCACAGATTGGAAATACCATTTTTCTGAATTTATTGTGAGTATTTATTACTCTTTTGGCTACCCTTCCTGCCCCGGAGGAGTGTTCCATCTTACAAGCTATGATGGGTTGAACTGTGTTTCCCCAAAATTTATACATTGAAGTCCTAACCCCTTCCTTGGAACATAACCTTATTTGGAAATAGGTTTGTTGCAGATGGAATTAGTTCAGATAAGGCTGTGCTGCGGTAGAGTAGACCCTGCTCCAATATGACTGGCGTTTATGTATAAAAGGGGGAATTTGACACAGAGACACATGCACAGGGAGGGCACCAGGGACTGGGCTGATGCCGCCACATGCCAAGGAACTACCAGAACTGGGACAGGGGCCTGGAACACCTCCGCCCCTGGCGCCTTCAGAGGGAAGCCCTTCATCCTGGACTCACAGTTTCCAGAGCTGTGAAATGATACATTCTATTGTTTAAGCCACTTACTTTGTGGTCCTTTGTTACAGTGGCCCTGGCAAACTAACAGAAGAGATAAAACCACTTCCCACCAGAGCTAAGAATGCCAGCTCACAGTCTCCCGGCATATGGGGTGGGGACATGTGGCCTGGGTTCTGCTGAAGGACACACTTGCACTGCTAGAGACACAGTGAGGGAGGATGGCACCAGGTTGTGATGGCAGACACTACATGCAGCAGAGGCAATTACAGCAGAAGCTGCAGCCTCCGCAACCAGCTGGGAATTGCAGAGCTGGCAGCCAGGTCTAGGCCTAAGAACAATGGCAATGGTGTCTCTGCAGGACAAGCTCTGCAGGCTGATTTGGGGCATCCTCTGAGCTGCTAGCCCTTCTGGATATTCCTGTTACCCAGTACTTTCTCATACATTTCCTTTCTACTTCAGCTAACCAGAGTAGATTTCTGTCACTTGCCTAAAACACTTCCTGACACAGAGTAGGTCCCTAGTATTTGTCCACATTGAATAAACCCTGAAATGGCATAAGTAATATCATAACTCACACAATTTTCTAAAATTCAATTTAATATGCATATATTTTGTGAATATCAAAATAACAATTACTGATCTTTAACCAACAAAGACCATGTACCCTAGCCAATCTCCTTACGTGTTACCTCAACATAATAACACATTGCAGTAGGCTTTCCCAACTTTCACAGATGGAGAAACCCACGTTTGGACACTTGTCAAGGTATGGAGGTAGCAGATGGCAATACAAGATTTGAATCCAGGCATTCTGAGGATAGTATTTGCGAATGGAGCACTCTAGAACAATATGAAAAGAAATCTTTTTAAATGATACGGTAAAGAAAAAATCCAAAGGTTCTGATTCTTAACTAGTTAGAGAACAATGGTTCAAGTTTGCCTTGATGTCTATTTATATGGAAAAAGTTACATGCACCTTTCCCGGAAGAAAAAAATCAACTAGGATCCCTCTGCCTTTCTGGTAATGCCACAAAGGAAACGGATGTGAATAGCTAAATAAAAAGGGCATTCAGACAACAGCAAAACTGGGGAATTAATTTATATGAAAAATCATGTTCTGTCAGCTTGATTTATTAAACCAAACTCATTTTTTACAATATTAGCCATTATAACTTCTGAAATATTTTGTAAAGCTTCTGTTTGGCAAATGAGAACAGTTGGGAAAATAAATATGTGCAGTGAAAAGAACTAAAATATCTTGTTCAAAAAAGAAATCATGATAACTGTGAAAACCAAAGTATCAGAACAAATGTCTATTCTCAAGTTTGTCAGGGACATCACCATCAGAACCACAGCATCATTTTTGGAAAAATGTTGAGGAGCAGCCCAAGATGTTGGTAATGGTAACAAATTTTCTATAGAAGCTTCTAAAGTGAAGATCAGCCAGGTTAGCTGGACCCTGCCTTCCCAATCTCAGGTAGAATCCTCTCAGGATTTACTGTTGAAACTAGGTACTTCCCTGTATGTTCCTCCAGAAGCATATCAAATTCATCACCTTCCACACTGAGCCTGAAATTAAACCCTCGGAGCTCTTTCTGGCCTGTCATGGATGGGGCACATTATTTCTCTGGATCTTGCTTTTTCACAAAGTCTGGGAGCCACCTGCTTTATACTTCCTGACCTCTGATGGCTGTCAGTGGAGGCTGGGGTTGTGCCTGAAGTCCCTGTAAGTTCCAACAGACCTGGCTAAGCCACTATTTAGCCCTCCTTGCTTCCTAGCTCAGAAATATCATGAGGGACTTGAGTATTCTGAAGCTCACCCAGGCAAAGGCTTAGAGTTCAAGGTTCAAATGTGGCTCAGGAAATCCACTTGACTGAATCTATTAAAGCTAAACATATGTTTACTTAATGACCTAGAGATGCAACTGCAAAGTACTGCATCCAAGAAAGACGTGTGCACATCTCCTCCGGAAGACATGTGCTCATAATGGGCAAAAGCTGGACACATGCAAATGCACACCAATAGTACAATGGATAAGCTACGGCATATTCATGTGTTAATACACAGCAATAAAAGTCATTTTTATATTCAACAATATGGATAGATATAACACTGAGTGAAAAGAGGCTACACACCAAAAGTGCATACTGTATGATTCCATTTATATGAAATTCAGTAACAAAAACACAAATCTGTGGTGAAGGTGCTCAGAATAAGGGTTCCTTCTAGAAGAAAGGGTGGGTATTGACTGGGAGGGGACATAAAGGAACCTTCTGGAATGCTGTAAATGTCCTATATTTTTGTCCTAATCATGATTATATGGGCATATATGTAGGGAAAAATTCAAATGATTTGTATATTTATGTATGTATATTATATTACATCAAAAAAAATTTTTTTTAATATGGAATGCTTCACGAATGCATGTCATCCTTATGCAGGGGCCATGCTAATCTTCTCTGTATCATTCCAATTTTAGTATATGTACTGCTGAAATGAGCATAACTATTGCATCAAAATTTTAAGGCAGACTTTTGAGACTGCAAATTTCAGTTGTAAAATGACTAGGAATAAAGAACCAAAGAAAACAAGATCCCAGATTCAAAAAGACATATGCACCCCTATGTTTATCACAGCACTATTAACAATAGCCAAGAAATGGGAGCAACCTAAGTGTCCTTCAGTAGATGAATGGATAAAGAAGATGCAGTACATATACAAATCCTACCATTTGCAACAACATGGATGGAGCTAGAGGGTATTATGCTCACTGAAATAAGCCAGACAGAGAAAGACAAGTACCAAATGATTTTACTCATCTGTGGAGTATAACAACATAGCAAAATTGAAGAAGCAAAACAGCAGCAGACTCACAGACTCCAAGAAGGTCCTATAGGTTACTAAAGGGAAGGAGGGTGGGAGGGTGGGTGGGGAGGGAGGGAGAAGTTGATTAAGGGGCATTATGATTAACACACATAACATAAAGGGGCATGGGGAAGGAAGTATAGCACAGAGAAGACACGTGGTGACTCTATAGCATCTTACTATGCTGATGGACAGTGAGCTCAATGGGGTATATGGAGGGAGACTTGATAGTATGGGTAAATGTAATAGCCGCAATGTTGCACATGTGAAACCTTCATAAGATTATATATCAATGATACCTTAATAAAAAATGATTAAGAATAAAGGAGATTTCAATTTGAGGTGCTCAGCTTGGAGCCCACAGGTCTCAGTGCTCAGCATTCAAGATAGCCCAGAATTCAGATACTAGAACTGAAATATATACAAGTGAATGATGATAAGCACTCCTCTCTGTGAAGCAGTTTCTGGAGGGCATGCTCTAGACAAAGCATTTTACAAATACAACCTCATTTAATACTTACAACAACTATATAAGGTAGATGTTGTTGTTATCCCCATTTTACAGAATAATCACATCTTGCTCAAGGTTGTGCTGCAGTAAGTGGCAATGTCAAAACATTAAAGTAGTCATAGAGGGACAGAATGGTATCAAGAGGGGAAATAAATCGGTATTCCAGGTCTTATGCTCTGGGCCTTTACATTTCTTGGTAAGAGATTAATCAGAGCTTCAGAAACAGAAACTCCTCTCCCTGAAATAAGCCAGATGGGGAAAGACAAATATCATAAGATTTCACCTATATGTGAAGTAGAAAAAAAACAAAAACAAAAAAACAAACACAGCAAAATAGGCTCATAGACCCTTAAAAGTGACTGGTGGTGTCTGTTGGGGAGGGGTTGGGATGGGTGGGTGAAATAGGTGAAGTGGATAATGAAGCACAAAATCTCAATCATAGTATTATATTAGTCACAGGGATGAAAGCACAGCACAGAGAATATAGTCAATAGTTCTGTAACATCTTTCTGTGTTGATAGATAATAACTACACTAGTTGGGGTGAGCATTTAATAATGTAGGTAAGTGTCGAAACACTATGTTGTATGCTTGAAATCAATATAATATTGTATACCAACTATACTTCAATTAAATAAAAACAGAGTTCCTTAGAGAAATGGCTGATTCAAGGGCTTGGAGCAGGAAAATACACAATGATCCTAGCATCTTGCAGTGTTAGAGTAGGGAAGTGCTGAAACTCAAACTCCCAATGGTGAGAACTGGAACAAATTGAGCCGCTAGTAAATAAGTTAATATTGGATTAAAACTAAGAATAAAGTAAATATCCGTAAGTCTGTTCTGATATAGATAGTCATTAAATAAACAAATAAATAAATAACTGAGAAGGGAAAAATCTTCCTTACTGAAGAGTTCCAAATAATATGTGTAAAATACTCTCCAGGAGGTGAAATCTAATACCTTTCCACTTGAGTGTGGTCTTATTTCCCAAAAACAGTATGGAAAGGGAAAAATAGTAACTTTATAGTGGAAAAAGCTAGAAGACACCACCTTAACCAAGTGATCAAGGTTAACCCCATCTGCAGTAGGTCATATTGACAACATATATTCCCTTTTGCAATGAAATACTTCATTGCTGTGTTCATTCTTCTCCAAATTCCTAGCTCCAGTCCAATCATGAGAACACATCAGACACACTGAAATTGTGGTGCCCTCTACAATATGCCATGAATTCTCTTAAAAACTCTCAAGGTCATGAAAACCAAGAAAAATATGAGAAACTGTCATGGACCAGTGAGAGAAAGGGAGACATAATGTGTAAATGTAGAGTAGTATCCTGGATTTGATCCTGAAACAGAAAAACTGAAGAAATCTCAATAAGGTCTATAGTTAGTAGTGTTATACTAGTATTAAGTTCTTGGTTTGACAAATGTACTGTTGTTATGATAACATTAAGGGAAGTTTGGTGAAGGGCATACAGGAATTCGCTCTACAATCTTTGCTGCAAATCTAAGATACTTCAAAAAGTAGAAAATTAAGTCCTGTTAAAAAAATAAAGATAATTGACCAAATTGGTAGGTGAAAATGTTATCTCATGATTATGTTTGTATTTCTTTTGTTCATGGTTGGATAGTTTGTGTTTTTCCTGCATTCATTGATTGTAAGAATATATTCTTTGATATGGTACATTAAAAAAAAAAGAAAGAAACTCTCCTTCCCTAGGCAATCAATCAGTACTTTGAAATGAAGAAAGCTCTGAGGGAACAAAATCAAGTCCAGAGACCTAGTGGCTTCTGCCTTTGTCAGCCGGCACCCTTCCTCCCCTCTTCTGGAACAAGGATGAACAGTGGCCCAAGAGGGCCCATTAGAGTCACCTCCTTGGGCACAAGAAGTTCCAGTGCTGACACATGCAAGAGGAAGGAGCCAAAGCCAAGTCCCTGAGCAAGACGTGGAAGCCCTGTGACAAGGCCAGAGGGCACCTGCTCCCTGCCTTTCCCATATTTCTTGTGCCCTCTGTGAACTGTCCCAGTATCTTTTCAGTAAATCTCATGTTAGTAATAGTCAGGTCTCTTGATTACAGTAGAAGGAACCCGAGTTACACCCGCTTAAGTGAAAAGATGCATTTTTTGGAAAGATCTGAGGTGTCTTACAAACATCAGTGATGGAGACACAGCCCCCAGAATGGAGCCAGGGCCTGGAGCCCATAGGGTCCCTGTGGATCTCCCTGCATCTCACCCTATTTTTCCCTGTGCATATGCTTTCCTCTTCCCAGTTATTACAGATCAGCCTCCACTACTTCTCCATCCTTATGGTGGGATATGGCCACCCTGCTCCCTGGATTTGTATGTTCCAGTTCATGCACCCAGCATGAAGCTCATCTCTAGCTCTTACACCCAAAAGCAAAATTTCAAGGAAAACATAGATTGGTCAGCTTGGATGAAATGCCCCTAACCAAAAAAATGTGTGGCAGGGAGTCAGGATCTTATAAAATCATGGCAACTTCTACCACACTCATGGGGATGGATGGGGGAAGAAGATGGTGAATAACAATGTGATGGGCATCCACCACATGGCCTAACTTAATCAGTCCATTGACCATGGAGAAAACATCAACTTTGGAGTTAAAGGGCTCCAACACTTATCAGATTTGTGATGCTGGGCAAGCCTCTGTTTCCTCATCTGCAAATTGAGGATGATAATGCCTATTTCATGATGTCATCAAGAGGATAAAGCAAGAAAGAATATGTAAAGCATCTAGTATACCTCCTGACACCTAAATGAGGAATAGTTCTGATCTTTTGCTGAAATCAAAACAGTCACAGTGCCTTACCTATACCAAATTGTTTGGCTGAAGTGGAGCTTTTCCTATGCACTGCAGCCTGCTAACTTACGGCATTTCACAGAGGCATCTCATGCTTTCAAAAACATTTTTCAAAAAAATACATGTAATTTACCTTAGTGCTTGCTGCAAAAAAGTAAGAGCTAGAGACATAAAAAAGATAGCAGAGTAGGAAGGCAAGATGGAAATCTCCTCCTTTCCAACACACCAAGGAAGCAACTACCACAAACACAACCAAATCTGAAAATGACCTGGACTGCAGAACAGATCACCTACACCTGGGGAAGAAGAGAAGACCACACAGAAAAGGGTGAAGTGGCAGAGCCATGATCAATTGGGACCTAAGCCCTTCCTCCATCCCAACCCACACACAGGAGGAAGAGGAACAGAGCAGGGAGGTTACAGGCATTGAGGAACTCTGCACACCTGGCCCTGGAGATTTTCTCTGGGAGCATGAGTCCACATTACATTGAGTTCCAGTGCTTAGCAAGGCTGGACACCAGGCACAGTTGGAGCACTCTGGGAGACTGAGATTCCAGCCGCTTGTGGAGGACATGCACACTCCACCAGTCCTGCCGATACCCAAAGCAGAGATGGCAGTTCAAAAGACTTGCCAGCAGTGTGAGGGGTACCAAAGGGGTGAGGATTGGACAGAGCTCTCTCCACAGGAGAAAGTGCAGGTAGACATACCTCCCAAGCCCTTCCTTGGCCCAACAGGTCGGGCACTCTCAGGAGTGCCAGACACTCCATCTTCCCTACTGGCAATCAACCCTGAGGAACTTCCCTGCACATTGCCAGCCCACCAGCCCACTCAGCCCAACAGCTTCAATCGTTGTTGCCTGGCAAGCAAAGGAAGACTTTCTCGGTTTTCTTGGCCCTGTCTCAGCCCAACTCAGAAGGCACCTGCAAGAGCCAGCTCTGAGTGCTCCTTCTCCACCTCCATAGATGGCCAAACCCAGTGCTACACAACTCGCTTGTGCAGGGTGCGCTACCACCACACAACTCATGCCGCCCTGCCCTAGAGCCATGTAACGGCCCCACACCCTGTTAACCCTGTGCGCCATCATCACTACAGGGCAGAGGGTGGCCCTGCCTGAAATGATCCCATCAGAAGCCATTGCTCTGGACATATAGGGCCAGCTGAGGCAAACTACCAACCTCACTGGACTGAGACCACTGCCGGCAGACAGAAAGGCAGCCTCACCATTGCCCACCAACAGCAACTGGGGCTCCACTGCAAAGGAGAACCAGGCACTGGACAATAGGGAGTCTTGAGCTTCTGGGCACCA